TGGTATACGTAAATTTACTTTTAAAAAACCATACAATTTCCATATTTTTTACATGAATGTGAAAGACTGCATTAAGTGGTACCATTTGTACGGTGAATGACCAAAATAAAGCACAAAAGTGAGTTTCTGAAAAATAAATAAATCTAAAGGACAATTTTCTGAAATAAAGGCCCGTCCTTTATAATAAAAGATGTATGGTGACTGTACTTGTGAAGGGGGTATAAATGTGGTTTCATCTCTTTATTGATGGTTGATTTGTCTGAATGCCAGGCTTCCAGGAGTTCTCTAGCATTCTTGGATTTGGCTTGATGAGGTATCCTAGTTGGGTAATGAAATGTCTGCAAGCAAACAACCCAGCTCAGAGAGCACCAAGAACTTCACGGTTCGACCCTGAGCTACCAATATTCTCTTCTATTGAAGCTAGTGGGTGCAGCTTTGCTGGGCCCACTCTAGGAACCCATCACAGCATCCTCAGCAGGTTACTGAATTGATCCAGTATTTGGCTTTGTACAAGGGATTGAATTGCACCTTTCTCAAACAGGTGGGGTGCCTGGCCCCATCCCACAGGGCACGGTCAAGGAAGCAAGAATCCTACAGACATCTCTTGGAAGTTTTAATGCAGGAATTAGGGTAAGGTCTGTCCTCTTCAAAACTGCAGTAGGAACCTCCAGACCTCGCTTGTTAGTGTGCTTATTAAGGCAGAAACTCTTAAAAGTTTTGAATCTCTTCCAGGGCTTAAATATGTGATAAGCTACTAACAAAGTATTCTTCCTTTTGTTGATTGTTCTTCCCATTTCTTAGTCTCCCTTGCAAACTCTCACATTGGTTTTCTACCACATGCTACGCCACAGGAAACCTCAGTAAGGTTAACATTCAGCAAGCTAAGCATGTTAAGAAAATGGTTGGACTAACCGCCAAATTAAATTCATTGTCTGAACCCAGCCATAATGTTCAGTGGTGAGAGCCTGCAAGTGTTGACTGGGTACCCACAAGTGGACTAAACTCTACTGTGGTTTGCTTATGGCAAGTTGTGAACCCAGCCGGTTGGCATTTGTTCAGTAACAGTACTTGAGCAAGCCTTATTGGGTGAACTTTCTTCCATTCTGTGCTTGCACACCATTAGAAGACAGTGTTTTATTTGTTTCTATTACATCAGACACTGCACTGATGCACATTTGCACAGTGCAAATTATAGACCCTGAGCTGTAATTGTGAGATGCAGTTCATTAAAAACATTGGGTATGCATTAACTGGGCATTTTTGATACACAGTTGAATTTGCTTTACAACCATTGGGATTAAATTCAATCAGCTGTTTGTGGTCTTGGAAACCATCAAACGCCAATTTGATCTCTGAACAAAATTATTCCTGCAGCCTCTTCCTGCTGCTTAGCTTTATGTTAGAAAAAGTTGCTAATTTCTGAGACTGTGTGTATTCATAACTTTGTTTTAGCATGTGTTGCAAAGGCAGTTGGCTTAGCTCCTTCTGTGGAGTCCTTGGGGTTCTCTTGGTTGTTTTCTTGCAGACGCTTTGTTACCCATGTAGGTAACACCTTCAGTGTTAGAAGGAAGTGGGGTTTGCTCTCTGTTGGTGTGGGTGTGGTTTTCTCCTTGGTAGTTCCTTGATTCGGCTGTTATTTACTGCTTGTTTGTCTGAATTGGTAATTCCTTGATTAGGGCATTGTTTACCAACTCTAGACAGATAAACAAGCAGTAAACAGCCTAATCGAGGAACTACCAAGGAGAAAACAACACCTCCACCAACTTTGACAGGGCAAGCTACTGTATATAAACAGAGAGCAAACCCACTCCGTTCTAGCACTGAAGATGTTACCTAGTCAGGTAACGAAACGTCTGCAAGAAAACAAACAAGCTCAGAGAACCCCAAGGGCTCCACAGTATGTGTGTGTGTGTGTGTGCACACACACACACATACAGTATATATGAGCTACATATATTCTCTTCTATTACCTCCTTCTGCCACGTGTATCTCTTTATTAAAATGTTCCCATGCAACAAATTTGGGAAAGGCCTTTGGTTGAACAACTGAACAGCTGGTGCCAATTAAAATAATTAATATTGGGAAACGCCACTGTGGCCTTACTTGGTATAAGGTGACTTCGTTACCCATTTAGAATATTCTGTGTCAAAGCAGAATGTCTACTTTTAGGCTCTTTATAGTGACTTCAGGGTTCTTTCCACACCATGGAATGTACTTTCCTTCAGAAGAACATTATGGTTTGCCTCCATTCTCTTTCCTCTTACAAAGAGTTAAGACATTTTTCAGTGGTAGACAGTTTATATAGCAGTGTTTCTCAATCTTGACAACTTTAAGAAGTGTGGACTTCAATTTCCAGAATTCCCCAGCCAGCTTGCTGGCTGGGGAATTCTGGGAGTTGAAGTCCACATATTTTAAGGTTGCCAAGGTTGAGAAGACTGGTTTATAGTGATTTTAAATATTTAATTTCTGTTTCAGTAACTATGTTGAATGATCTGTAGGCACAAAGGTGGAATATAAATTGAAACAAAAACAGACTTTCAAAATAATTACGGTATAAAATGTCAAACTCATTTCTCTGAAATCTTCGATAAAATATGATAGGATCTAAGATTTTTGTACATTATTGCCTCTCTGATCAAAGCCATTCAAACCTTGTTGCTAGGATATTTTTTTTTAACAACATGTACCTGTTTTCCCCACTGAAATTATTTATAATATTTTCAACTTGCCCAACAACAGTGTTTTCTCATACAATTTTATCTTATCATAGTTTTGTGTAACCCCCGCCCTCAAAATGTATCATTTTGCAGTAATTGTAGACTCAAAGTCTGTATCATTTATATTATGACATATGTATTGCAATCTGTGAAACAATTCGACGTTCTCTCTCCTCCTTGGTAACATAGTAGATTTATTTATGCTTTATTCTTATCTTCGCTGTATCAAATGAAAACCTTCTGAAAAAGGGAGGAAGATTATAATGATTTTAACATTATAGAATATATTTAGAGGCTAAGAATCATAATAAAGTTCACTTTCCCTGTGAACGCCGCTATTTATCTTTTTCTCAGTCTACCGCTCTGTAGTAATGCTTACTTTTCCCTCATTGTTTTAAATTATTACTAGATTCTGTAAGCTAAATTCAGGTTGGTGTAGTGGTTAAAGGCAGCAGGCTAGAAAGCAGGAGACTGAATTCTAGTCGTGCCTTAGGTGCAAAACCATTAGGGTGACTTTGGGCCAGTCACTCGCTCTTGGCCCCAGGTAGAAGGCAAGGGCAAGCCACTTCCAAAAATGTTGTCAAGAAAACTGCAGGGACTTGTGCAGGAAGTTGCCAGGAATCAACACTGACTCGAAGGCGCACACACACACACAGAGTACTGAAAAAGCTTGTTATATGAGCCTGAAGTATTATTGCTGTTCAAAATGATCTGTGCTCATGATCAAAAGGAATGCTGTAAAATCCTTGTCCAGTCTGGCCCCTTGTAGATGGCTGGACATTAACTCCCATAATTCTGTATCTAGCATGGCCAGTGTTGACTGGAAGATTAAGATGTAGGAAATTTACAGGGCAGCAGCTTGGGAGAGACTGCTATAACTGGTAAGGCTATCTCCAGCTTAGTTTAAAAATAAAATAGATGGAGTGGATTCAGGCTGAGCAGTACAATTGAAATCTACCAACAGAGTTGATAACTGTTAGGGATGCCAGCCCTAGTACCCTGTTTATTACAATTTGGCTTAGTTTTTGGCACCACCTCTTGATTGTGTGAGAAACTTGGCAGAATTCAGCATTTTCTGACTCACCCCAGTTTAAGAATAACATCTTTGTTTTCTTCCATGATGGGCACTCCAGAAAGCTCTCACAATGGATATTTTTGGAGACCTGCGGCGAATGAACAAGCGCCAGGTAAAGGAGGCGTACAATTTGCTTAGCTATATTTGCTTGTGAGCAGTGACTGAGTTTTGCGCAGAATTGTTTATATCACAGTCTGAATAGATTTATTGAAATTGATGGGTCCTATGCAAGGTACTACAGGCAGTCCTCCCTTAACGACCATTTGTTCAGTGACTGAAGTTACAACAATGCTGAATGAATGGTATTTATGCCTGGTCCTTGAAGTTACAGCCATTGGAGTGCCCCCTGCAGTCACGTGATCAAAATTTGGGCACTTGGCAGCTCACTCACATTTACGACTGCAGGGTGTACTTCAACAACCCCCACCTGCCTATCTCTCTTTTGACCCCCTAAACTGCACAGTCCCTGCCACCCTGCACTCTGCTGCCCCCAGCTGACCTTCGCCATCTTCTTGCTCCTGCTGATGATGAAGCGCACCGGCCTGGCTCTTCATGAGGCAGCTGCTGGGAAGAGGGCCTTGCACGGCCAGCAGCTGCCTTGCCAAGGGCCAGGCTGGGTGCACCTCATCAGCAGTGGGAGCAAGAAGATGGCAGAAGCATCGTGACGATGCAAGGTCTTGCATCACAGTGCCGCCTCTGCCACTTTGCCTTTTTTGACCCCCCTCAGATGCTGCTGCTCCCTCCCAAAGCTGGGGGAAATACATTTTGGCCCCATCGCTTTTATCATTATCCTTCCCTCTGGCCATCCCTAAAAGCTTGAGTGACCTTCTCTTAGATCAAAGTGGGTAGGCTGCGGACTTCATGCATTTCCCGGGCACACACATGCAGCTGCTTGAACATCATGAAATCACTTAGTCAAAATTTAGGCACTGATTTGAGGAGCGCAGATTTCCATTTAAACTTACTAATAGATGGGTTGGGTTTATGTTGCAGTAGCAACGTAAAGTGCATAAAGCATTCTGCTGTAGTGCTTCTAACCCTGGAAAGATCTGTGTCACTCCAAGAGGTGTGGGGTTTTGATTTTCAGAGCCAGTTCTGCTGGAGATCATGAACTTGTTTGTGTGTGGGTGCAAACACGTGGCATGAGCCAGTGCTGAATAGCCTTTTAATAAGTTGTAAATCAGTGGTTCTGTTTTTAGGTTTCTACTGGGCTGGAATGGGGAAAGGATAAATCTGTTTCCCTTGTTAGCAATTTCCTTGTTTTTTAAATAAATGGAAAACTGGGCCACCTCCTGGTACAGAGCATTGCACTGTTACCCCTTGCAGATGGGAAAGGCTCAATGCCCTATTTGTTCCACGTGCTGATCTACTTTGTGGCTCTTCAGCTGCTGTGCTGTTCTTCTTGCTGATCGGTTTTTGATTGCCCTACTTCACCCACATCCATGCCACACTTCATTATAAAAATGCAGCACCCTGGGAAGATTGACCATTCTGAGGAAAGAAACGGGTGTCTGTTAAATATGAAGATTATAAAATATTTATGTATCTATGTCTCTGTCCTGCCTGAAACACTTTGTCACTCAATAGGTTCCCCTTGGTCTGCTGCTCTTTGTTCTGTTGAAGCAGTCCAATGTAACTGCTTAAAACATCTTTAAAGACAATGCAAACACCCCTTTTTCTGGTCAACTGTAGTTACGGTAGATGCAAATACATGGTCTTTTGCCTTACTCAGAGCCACTAAAGGCCTGAAAGGGCAATACTGCAAATCAGACCAGTTTCCCTGTTCTCAAAACTCATTTACATTTGCTTTCACTAAAGTGAAAATATTCTGGATTTGCTTTTCATGGCCAAGCTCATTTTCTTTAGTATTTTAGTTGAAGTTATTTCATTTAAAATAAATAAGATTTTTGTTGGTGTTGCGTCTATGAAAATTAAATTTGTACCTTAATATTTAAATTTGAAGATATTCAGTGGTGTATCCTGTAAAATCAGAAAGTGAGTACAGTGACTCTTGAAATAATAACAGCGATGATGATGATGATGATGATGATGATGATGATGATGATGAAAGACCATACATGAAATGTGTTCTTTTCATTCCACTCTTCATTTTGTTGTAGCTCTATTACCAAGTTTTAAATTTTGCCATGATTGTGTCTTCAGCCCTAATGATATGGAAAGGCCTTATTGTTATCACTGGGAGCGAGAGTCCAATTGTAGTAGTGCTCAGGTATGTCTCTCTATGAACACTTTGTTTGCTGGGTTAGTCTGCAGCCCACAATTTTTGTCCTATTTCTCTCCCAAGTTGGGAATAAGGAAACAGAGTGTGGGTGGGAGGTTGTTGTATTTATAACCATTATTTCTTCAACCTGTTCTCCTTGTTTCTATTAAGTTCTATTTATAATAAACTGTATGGTGAAGTTTGGCTAGGTCATAGTAAGCTAGCCATTCCTTCTTGGTCCTCTTCCTATACAAAGCATGTACTGTTGTATAAGCAGCCTTATTAGTCAACAACACATGTGTGTCCATTCATACATGATGATGGCAGACTGAGAAGCCAGGGCTAATTCTGGCTTATGGTCTCCTGCACCCTGATCTATACAGGTTAGAAATAGGTGTTGTTTGGGTTCTTGGTGCTGAACCTGGTTGCTTTCCTGCAGAAATTTCATTACAAGGTTAGGTTACATCATCACTGATGTTGGTTGAACATGACCAAACTGAGAACACCAAGAACCCAATAGTTCAACCCTGTTCTAAGTATATTCTCTACTATTAAAATAGGCATTTATCGAACTTTTCCAATAATGTACTATGACATTGGGCTCCTATGGATAAGATTTACAGAATTTCTTACATCATTGAGATAGATTGATTGATTTAAACCTATTTGTGGGTAAGCATTTGAAACATTTTAGGTCTTGTAACACAAAACCACTTCAAGTATCCTGTGCTTATTTATTCTTCTGTAATCATTGTGTTAATTGTAAAAATTCTCTTCTCTTCTCTTCTCTTCTCTTCTCTTCTCTTCTCTTCTCTTCTCTTCTCTTCTCTTCTCTTCTCTTCTCTTCTCTTCTCTAGTGGCAGTATGGAACCAGCCTTCCATAGAGGAGACCTCTTGTTCTTGACAAATTTCCGAGATGACCCCATCAGGGCTGGAGAAATAGTTGTTTTCAAAGTCGAAGGCAGAGATATTCCAATTGTGCACAGAGTTATTAAAGTTCACGAAAAGTAATGGTGGCCATACAAAGTATAATCAATGAACAGCCCTGTGTTGGGTTGTTAAGGCTTTTCTGAGCTGGATTCCAAGTAGTAGGTGGAGTTAAGATGGGGAAATGAGCAGAATCAAGACACAATTGAATGTTGAATTTATTGGGATTTAAATTTTAGTAAAGTGAAGTTGAATTACTGATTCATTACTACTATAATTTTTCCTATAATCTGGCAGAAGCTTTTAGAGGGTGCTAGGGCTGTACCTGTGTCTTTTTAGGGGATTGGATTTAAAAGAAGCTAAACTACACATTTAATTGGGATGGGGAAGAAAGCAGACATTGGTTATTTAAGGATCAGCATTACCTTAACTGTTGTATGACAGGCTTCTCTCTGGGCCCTTGAATGCCAACTCCCAGTACCACTTTTAATTTTGCTTTCCTTCCTCTTTTATGGGAGGAGGGCACTCTCTATTCTGGATATCTGAATCAGTGTTTTCCTGGTGTTCTTGTAGCACAAATGTCCAACCTGACTTTTCTAGTGGGTTATCACTCTTACAACATTGTGACATTTTCAGAAGACCATTTTTACAACATGACTGTTCAAACATTGCTTCAGAGTGATGTGACAGCCTTAAAAGGAGATGTGCTTTAGACCTCTCTGCTCTATACTAGGTAAAAATCAGAAGAAGTTTGGTGGCACCTTTTCTGACTAACCAATTTCATTAAAAGATCCAAGCTTTTGTGAGCTATAGCTCATTTCATCAGATGCATGGAGTGGCAAATCTAATGATGAAGTGCACTGTAGCTCACAAAAGTTTAGGCCTTTTAATGAAATGTGTCAATCTGAAAAGGTGTCACTGGACTCCTGTTTTTTGGCCACCATAGACTAATACAAATCTCCTACCATTTATACTGGAGATTGCTTCTCCATTTGATGTATTTCTGGATTTCAGGTTAAGGTGATTTCCATAGCTGACTATCTGACCATTTAGCTTGGGAACGTCTTTATCAGATCATAAACTCTCACCACAAGCCAGAGGTGATGAATCTGTGACCCTCCAGACATTGCTGAACCACAGCTTTCAGCAGTCCCACCCAGCATAGTGGAAGGGGGGCAGCCTTGAGGTGCAATTCAGCAACAACTGGAGGCTGACAGTTTCACTGCCTACACTAAGCTATTGAAAGCAGTTGTGACTGATAGTCACTGATACAGACTGGGCCTCCATGACTTGATCTGGCTCAAAAAATTAGCCTCTGATTTTAAGCACCTGGCAAATTAAAATTAATGTAATGAAGTTTTACTCGATAGCAGAAGAACTTCAAAATTAATGTAATGAAGACGTTTTACTTGATGGCAGAAAAACTTATCTTATTTAGTAGCTTATTTTTTTCATATGTAGTGGTGCTTGTTTTCTAGAAGACCTCTTTCTAGAGCAAGTATACTTGATAAATCTAGTCCTTTGTTGTTGTTCTTTAAGATGACTCTGTGGCTATAGTAGTTAATGCATTCAGGAGGGCCAAATGGTTGTTTAGCTCTGTTAGCAACAGTCCTAAAACACCTGGACATTTATTAAAATACAGGAAGGATAACATGTACATATTGATATCTTATCACCTGATCCTGCCTTTGGGTAGTTAGTAGGCAATTTAATAAATTGTTATAAATGAGGTGCTAATACCTTCCCTGTCCTGTTGCTTGCTTGCAGAGAAAATGGAAACATCAAATTTTTGACCAAGGGCGATAATAATGAAGTTGATGACAGGGGCTTGTACAAAGAAGGCCAGAACTGGCTAGAAAAGAAAGATGTTGTAGGCAGAGCACGAGGGTAAGTAATGCTGGTTACGCAAGCAGCCTCTCTTGTGAACACCAGTGTATCAATGATGTGCGCAGGAGCATGAGAAGCATCAGATGGAATTCTGTCTTCTTTGTTTTTCCCTGCCAGTGTTGTGGATTGATTTGGAAAATACATTTATTTCAGGATGAGTCACCTGGGGTTTCAGGGCCACATACAACCCTCAAAACTCTTTTTAAGAGCTCTAGGAATCCCTTTTGACAACAGTTGCTGAAAAATGGTAGCATGATTTCCAACCATTTCGAGGTGGAAATACATGTCACCCTAAATTTGGCTTCAATTATTGTTTTAATGCCTAGAGCAGGTAGCAGTACTTATAGATGGGAGACCATTCGGAAATCATAGACTTGAAGTCGATTGGGAAGTAAAAAAAAATCTAGAAAGAGTGCAATAGCTTCCACACTATTTCCAAGAAAGTTATTTGGACATGTCTGTGAAGTTTCCAGAAGTCATGTCCAGCTTGAGGGAGAGTCATAGCAGGTAGCAGCACCTTGCAGATCTTGTCTGACCTGCAAAAAGTTAATCAGGTTCAAAATTGTTTGGCACTTGGAGGGGAGACAATCAGGAAGTGCTAGACTGGGAAGTGGAAAAACATCCCAGAAGAAGGCAAGGACAGATCACTTCCATATTTCTGCCAAGAAAACATGGAAGTGTCATGGAGTTGCCAGGAGCTCATCTGCCTGCCCTCCTTGTCCCAGCTCTGAAGTGCCCTGCTTGCCTTTTGTCAAGGAAAGGCCTTACAAATTGGCCTCTGTCTTGGAGCCAGGCTGCCACCTGAGGTGGCATCAAGGTGACCTGGCAGGAATTGGTGTTTCCCATCAGAAAACACAGTAAAAGGCCTATATGAAGATTCAGGGTCACGTGGAAGAGGAGCCTGAGAGGGGTTGGGGACATGCAGTGTTCCTGTTGGCCCATTACAGGACTGCCCCCTCCCATCTGGCCACAGGCCTCTGTAGACGCTTGTGTTTTGGGAGAGAACCGAGCCTTGCCCAACAGTCAGTGTTGATTCCTGTTCTAGCATTTGGCAGTCTAGGGAATATTGACCTCATGATGGACTTTCCCCAAGGTCAAGACTATTCCTCCCCCCCCCCCCCCTCGATTTTCAGCAACTGGCTGCCCTAGATTGCAGCCATGTCCTGGCAGCAATTTTGTGCAGCACTCCACCATACTCTTCCTCTGTAGGGAGGTATCAAAGAGTCTGTTTCTCAATTCAAAACGATGCTGGCTTTCATTGATTGAGAAAGAAGGCCTCTGGAAAGCCTACTCCACTTTGGGGCTGCTTTCTGAAGGTCACTCTGTTCTTTCATGATTGATGTACAGGTAGTCCTCACTTACCAACAGTAATTGGGACCAGGAACTCCATTGCTAAATGATGTGGTCATAAGGTGTGACACCACATGATCATGCCAACTTACGACAACAGTGCCAGTGGCCGTCATTAGCCAAATCCTACATGGTCGCAGCCTCCCATAATCATGCGTTCACTATTTGCAGCCTCCTGCTCGCTTCCTCATTGACTTTGTTTGTCGGAAGCTGGCTGTGAAGGTCACAAATGGTGATCACATGACTGTGGGACGCTGCCACGTCATAATTGCAAGCCAGCTGCTGAGCACCTGAATTGTGATCACATGACCACAGGTACACTACAATGGCCACAACTACAAGGACCAGTGATAAGCCCCCTTGGTTCATTGCCGTCATAATTTTGAACAGTCACCGAACAAGTGGCTGTTAACCAAGGACTACCTGTATTACCTAGTTTGGCCCTCAGGTTTGCAGATTGTGGATTCAATCTGGACCTAGATACCCTGGTTTTATTGATGCCCCAAAAATAGTTTACCAATTACATCATTTCCTGATGATGTGAACATGATCATACATCTCTTTTGGATTGCTCTTATTATGTCCACTTCAGGCTGCCTTGGGAAGTGTTTGGAAACTTGAGAAGCTCTGAATATTGAAACCAAACTATTTGACAAAGCCCAGTACCAGAATGTATGCTTCCCTTGTAGCAACAGCTTGAGGATCAGGGGCCTCTTTCCTACCCTTATTTTATTGGGGGGGAGGATGAAACTGAAAATTGTGCTGTCAAAATCTGGCCTTTTACCACTTAATGTTAGTGACATGTTTTGTCCTTGGGGGGTGGTACTGAGAATGAAAAAACTTCTTCCCAATGTCTTGTATTCCCCTTTTTTGAAATATTATTTCATTCTGCCAAAATTCAGCCAGTTTCACCAAGTTTCAATGGCCTGTGCTTGGAAGGACTCAGATGGAGTGCGGGAGGCCACGTGGGCCTGCAGACCACAGGCTGACCCCACTTGCCATATGGCTTGAATCCAGGCTCTCTAAAAGCCTGCAGATTCCCTTATAAGCCTGCCTTGGTTTTCTGGTGCTCAGGAGAAGTCCTTTTCTTAGCTTCATCCTCATCAGAAATGCAAAAGAGGCTCCCTGGTGGTTGCTTCCAAGTCAGAAGGCTTGAAGATCCAAGGTTACAAGTCTTGAAGTCCTGTAGGCCTGGACTTGGTGATGGCAAAGAACCCCAGAAGTATCTGGTGGGACACCATGTGTAATAAAATGCCAAATTAAGGTGGGCCTCAGCTTGATCCAACAGGGCTAATTATAGGTTCTTATGTGGCTTCATGCAGGCAGCGACATTTGTAGCTTCGGGTTTTTAAGAGGTTTACTGAAGAAGTATTTTAAGCTTGCACTGCATTTTTTTAATGTCTTTGTTTTTATGTATTATATAATGATGTATGCTATATTTAATATTAGCAACCTTGATACTATTCGTATAAAGCAGGATATAAATTTAATTATTAATATATTAAATCAGTAACACCTGACATTTTCAGCAACAGCACTGAAGGCTTAGCTAACAGGGAAATTACATTTCATTTATACCTATTTTAGATCTGTATTATAAACATAAATGCTATTTTTGAGCTAGACAGTAGTGCAGTGATTTAATGCTACTCTGTTCAACAATGCTTGGTCAGTGACTGCATTGATTAATCAACCAACTCTCTTTAACTTCTTTCAATTAGGTTTTTGCCGTATGTTGGAATGGTGACCATAATCATGAATGATTATCCAAAATTTAAGGTGGGTACAGATTTAACTGAGAGTCTATAAAATGATCTTTAGATTTAGAATGAACAATTTTGCTTAGACTGGATGAGAAAGATACCATCTAGTAAGATTTATTCTATCACTTGACTTTTACCACTCACATAGTTTTCTCTTTCAGGCTGGAAATTATGTGGGTCATATTTTCAACACATCTGAAGGGACTAGAGGTCTGTTGAGAGTCGGGCAGTATATAAATTTAATAATTAAATAAATAGATTTGAGGAGAATGTAGCCAGTGTTGCACATTGTCAGCAATTTGATCCCAGTTTATTGACTGACACATTCAGCCAAGTACATTCCAGAAAATTTTCACCCTAAAAAATGTGGTACTAGGATGATCTCTTCCAAGGTAAATGGGGAGAAGAGAAACATCTTGTTCAGTCTTAAAAATGTGCATTAAAAAAAAAAAGTCAGAAAATTACTTAGCTTTCAGATGAATTAAAAATTAATCACAGATTCAGTCACCCTCTAGTAATCCCAACAAGCTGTGAACCAGTCTCGGAAAAATTGACATCAATTCTTAGACTATATTTATTTCTTATTTATTCAGGATTATTTTATAATGTATTTTAAACTAATTTTAGCTTCTCTGTAAACCGCCCAGAGTCGTTTTTTAACGAGATGGGTGGTGACAAATTTGAGAAAGATATATAGATAGCTTATTTTTATATATGTATGTATGTATGTATGTATGAATGAATGAATGAATAAATGTATATGTATATATAAAAATAAATAAAAATAAGCTGACTGTAAGACTTCACTCCTAAGTGTGTTTAGGATTGACTTGTGAAATACTTCCGAAAAACCTGTGTGGAATTAAGTCCTGTGTGCTGGAAAATGGCAAGGAAAACAAACCTTGTATATCATTTATGAATAAGCATTAGGTTTTCCTTTGCAAAGCAGAATATTTAATTCCAAATAAGGTTGTTGTGGGCAACTCTGTTCTGCAGAAGGGCATCTTTATCTTTTATTCCCATGTGCATTTCAAAGGGAGGGTGCCTAGTATTAGAAACACATCAAAGAATCATTTGATTATATAATCCTACCTTATCACTCTGATCAAATGCAAATTTTACACGTTTCAGTATATTCCTCCTGTATCCCAAGTTCTACCTGCTGCCTAAATACCAGCAAGGATGCTGGCTTCGTTCCCTTATACGCAGAGGCACTCAGATGGAAAAGAATGTAACTTCTTCAGCAATGGCAATACTAACAGTGTATATCAGTGTTTCTCAACCTTGGCAACTTTAAGATGTGTGGACTTCAACTCCCAGAATTCTCCAGCCAGCCAGTACTTAGCTTAAGATCAAAACCTTTATTATGCGACAAATACTTTGATGCGAGTCACAGTTTTTTTTTCCAATGTTATGCTCAACTCTGAGAGCCAGTTTGGTGTAGTGGTTAAGGCATCAGGCTAGAAACTGGGAGCCATGAGTTCTAGTCCTGCCTTGGGCACAAAGCCAGCTGGGTGACCTTGGGCCAGTCCCTCTCTGTCAGCCCTAGGAAGGAGGCAATGGCAAACCACTTCAAAAAAACTTAACCAAGAAACCTGGAAGGCCGGGCCAAGGCGGTCGCCCCGAG